TAGATTAGGCACAGGCATTGCTTATACTGAAGATAATATTAATTTTATCTCAGATTTCTGAAATCTAGGCTCTGAATGTGAAGTCTTTGATGCTGAACTATTTACAATAGTGAAAGCTTTCAAACTCATTGAAATAAAATCTTATAAAAGAGGAAATTGTTTGAAAGAGGCATGAATATTCTCTGATAGTCAAGCTGCTTTAAAAAGACTTAGAAATAGTCAGATTTATAATGATCAAATGAATCTTGAACTGATCTTAAACTCTGTTTTGAAAATTCAAAAGAGAAGAATATCAAAGCTGATAATTCATCTGCACTGAGTTCCTGCTTACATGAATATTCATGATAATGAATTGGCTGATTCAGCTGCAAAAAAGAGTGCAGAATTAAGCAGATCTATTCAAAAAATTATGTTCTGGTCTTTTATAAAGAGAAAAATAAAAGAATCTTGTTTAGACAAGTGAAATGAAAGCTGGCAGAAACAAAAGAAGAGTATACATTATTCAAGATTTGAAACAAAACCCAAGTGAAAATCTTGTTCAATTAAATGTAAAAAGAAAATATTCTCATCTATAATACAGCTGAAACTAGGACATGGCTATTTCAAATCTTATATACAAAGATTTGATGATAGATTTGACTCAATAGAATGCTCATTCTGCAATATAAATGAGAATTCTGAGTATATTGTAATGCACTGTGCATTATACAATAGTCTCAGAGTCAGATTGAAAGAGAAGTATGATCTAAATCAATTAAATATGAGATTCTTATTCTCAACTGAGACAGGAATTAAATACTTAATAGACTTTCTATCAGAAACTCAAGCAGCTACAAGAAAATGGCTAAATTCAGAATTATCTGAGTATGAAGAGGAGGAAATTAATCAGATATAGTCTGTTAAAACAGCTATACACTCTCTTTTAATAATTTGTTTTGTTATAGTCTCTCTTTACTTTATCTTTTTCTTTATCTTTTTCTTTCAATTTCTTTCTATCTATTTATTTAATGTGTCTATCTTTGAGACTGTGTTCTTTTTCTCTTTTCTTTTGTCATGATATTGTCAAATGGTTTCAAAGTATCAAAAGATGTTAAAACACTGCAATTTGTAAACAGTTTTTGTATTCTGGGCTGGAATTTTCTGATTTTGCATATCTGAAATTGATGAATGTATAATAGTTAACTTTACAGACATAGAAAAAACCCTGAGAACTAAAGTTCTCAGGTAGATGTCATAGTCTCTGACTGCATACATCTATAATTGAAGAATAATAATAATAATAACTCACATGCACAAGGAATTCAGTCACTTAGAAAGCTCTGAACTCATGAGTGTACTCAAATCAAGAGCATACTGATCAAGCATGACTGAGAACATTCAGATATACACTCATGAGTGCCTGAATTGTCAGGTTGTGAAAGAATCTAAGAAAGAGTTAGAATGTGAGAAAGTATAATATCAGATGAAGTATATAATACAATTATTCAAACAATGAAAAGTGAATCTCATAGACATATTACTGTGAATGTTAAATGAAAATCAATAAATAATCACTGCTATTGATTACACTACTGACTGATCAGTCATGAAAGCAGTTTCAGAGATAACAGAGAAGATGATGATGAAGTTTCTATATAATGAGATCTATATCAACTATGAAATGCCGCGCGAGATTCTAACTGATAACAGTGTGAATCTCATAGAAGAAGTAGTGAGGCATTTTGTGAGTCAGTTACAGACAAGACATTGTAGAACAACATCATATCATCTGCAGATAAATGAGAAGATGAAACACTTGAATGAAATCTTGAATAACATGCTGACAAAATATCTAGTGAGTAAGTCTACAAGATTATGAGATGAATATCTCAGTCAGGCACTATTAATCATATGAATTTAACAGTATGCAGTCTTTAAGCATTCATCATTCTATTTGTTGTATGAATTGCATCTGCGCATTTCAGAGAATACTTCAGAAAAGATGAGAAAGAAAGTAGTTGCAGACATAGCAGAAACAGCAGTTGTGAATACAACAGTTGTGAATGCAGAATCAAGATTGAAAGAGATCAGCCATGCACATATAAAAGCTAATAAGTTACTCCTAAACTGAGTAATTCAATTAAAAAGAATACAAGACTCACTAGTTAAGAAATCAAGTCTCAAGATAAGAACATGAGTTCTCATACATAATGAGAGTTCTGAGAAGTTTCAACCTAGATGGTTTGAGTCATATAAAATACTCAAATTACATTCTCTGAGAATGTACACATTGAAAGAATCAGAGAGACAGATCTTATATAACTTAATCAATAATTCATAACTTATGAAAGTAAAGATGTAAGATCTGAGCAGATTATGATTATTCACAGCACTATTATCAGTGTTGAAAAAGAAGAGACTTACAATTGAAAAGTCTTATGAAGTAAGAGAAATTATAGACACTTATAAATCAGATGATCTCACTTATTCTGATCTTTTCACAATTATAAGAAAAGAATGAGAAGAAATGAAGAAATCAGATAAATACTACACTTCAATAAGTGATGAGACTGTAGCTAGTCATATAATAACACACTGCAGATAGTAGATGCAACACAGTAAAGAGTGATCTTAAAGCAGCAGACTTATATATAAGTCAGATCACAGAAGAAAAAGAGATTCAGAGTTGAATTTAACTGTTTACACTAGTTCAATTACAGAGATTACAGAGAATGAACTATCTGAAACATCTGCAGATATATAAGACTAAGTCATCTTAATCTCTGAAAATGCTCAGAGATCAGATGAGATTAGTTTTAATAAGCTATTCACTATAGTAATCTGAGTAGGTGAAGAGAGACAGTATAATATATAAGACAGAATCACAAAGATGAAAGCTGCTGAACCTAGTCACTGAATACTGTATTATATAGAGGTTGTATAAGAGTAGTGACTAGCAGATAAAGAAAAAGTGTAAGAAAAAAAAAAGAGATAATGAATTGATCATCAATTATAAAGATTGGCTGTAAAAAGACAAATATTATCATATATATCTCATTCATTTTTATATATCAAATATTTAATCTATTTCCAACATCACATCATCTGAAAAACATCAAAAACAAAGAAAATCTTAAAACTTGAGATTTGTAAGAGATTTAAGAGCTGCAAGCTGCTCTTGTAATAACATCATACATATCTCTGATTTCTCTATCACTCTGTGTATGATATTAATGTCATTTATCACAAGATTGACTGAAATGTCAATATAGAAATGTGTACATGTACATGTAGAGAAATTAAAGAAGAGTGCAGAACCTGCAGAATCAGAAGTCAGAGCAGAAAGAGCAGAGATGAAAGAGATAGAAGAAGAAGAAGATACAGAACTGAATAAATAACAGTGAGAGTTACTCAGTACTGAACACTTATAATCTGATATGTGTATAACCTTCTCTGCAGAGAAGAAAGAGAAAGTGACAGAAGAAGCTTGAGAACAGAGAGAGATAGTCTTAGCAGTGTTATTATCTTCAATTAGAATGATCTCTGATATCAGAGCAACTAAGAATCATTATTAGTATATAAAAATTATAAACTCAGAGATGAAAACAGTTACTGAATAAACACTCACTGATCTTAGAGTTGTATGTATAATTACAACACACACAAGACTTCTCAGAAAGAGAGAGAGAGACACAGAGAAATGCAGAAAGTAGAATACAGTGTGTGAACAGCTTATTCTCATGATAATATTTCAGACAAGATATATAAGTCTCACACTTATGAGTGTAAAAGAGAATAATATTCATGTTTCTATTTCTGAAAACACAGATATCTTTTACCTGTATTACAAAGTCAGATGATAGATGCTAGAGAATAGACTGATATAAATCTATTATTCTGAAGAAATTTGTCAGAGCAGAGATCTCTGTAATATTGAACTTTACAGTTATAAAAAGTTTCTTAATATCTGTGAATACTATAACTTTATATATAGTAAAACTCATAATAATTTCTTCTAAGAATAAAAAAATCAGCATTAGAAAGAAAAGATGAAAAAGAAAAAGACTTATAATCTTAATACTGTTGAGAAGAGAAGTGATTCTCTGAGATGAATAAACAATTACTTCATCATGAATATTTAAAATAAACATAATAATTGATGTCTGTGACTGAGCTTCAGATAGTCATGTTGTACACTGTCTTTATATAATAGATTGTTCTAGAAGTTGATAAGAAGAGTGAGAGTGTATACACTGAGAAATGTAGTTTATCAAGTCTATGCAACATCTTCTTGAAATGAGAAGAGCTGATAATGAAAGCAGAGACAGTAAAACCAGAAGAGGCAGAAGTAGTGAGAGTGAGAGTCACAGAAACAGGGGTAGCAGGAGCGGGAGAACCAGATACAGAGGCAGGTGTAGAAGATTGAAGAGAAGTGACAGAGAAAGAAACAGAAGGAACAGAGAGAGACATAGAAGATCTGATCACATATAACACAGACAATTCCTTCATTATCATGTTCTTCAGGTTCTCAATCAATGATTCAATATTGAGTTCACTATCATCAGCAGATGTGAATCTGTCAACATGTGAAGATTCTATATGAATAAAAACAAACATATCAGCATCTGCATTCACACAAAATTGTGTCAGAAAACACAATCAGAAACCCACTGAGAAGAAGAAACAGTCAAGAGTGTATGAGAAAGTGAAGAAGGTGTGTCATCATTCATGATAATACATTATTCTGGCAATCATTAGAAGATAAACAAGTCCTGATCATGTATGTTTCATAACATGTTACACTTACTGCTAACAAACTGCCTGATATGAGCACTATGATGACACTTGTTGTGAGAACAGAGGGCCATTGTCAGAAACATGTACAATGTGATAGGTGAACAGATGGAAAGAGTTGAACAGAAGAAGAAGTAGAAATCTTGAATGAGATAGTGACATTTGATGATGATGATGATGAAGAAGATGATTGAAGAATGAGAAAAGTTAGTAAATGAGTGATGTAATATAATCACATTTCTTTTCATTCGCACGTTCGCCATCCCCATCGACTGGTGCCCCGCACTTCAAAACCCAACAATCGCCCTTCTTTAGGCGGCTGCCTCTCGAAATCCGCCTGGCAATATACCATCACGCCCTCTCCTGCCATCGCGTCCACCTCGTCAGAATCCCTGGGAAAGTGGCCAGTTTTGCCTGTGCGGAGGGTACCGAGAAGGGATATACATGTTTCAAGGGCCGGGGGGAGGACTATGCCTGTTTGTCTACCAGCCTTCATCATCCAATGGTGGGTTATGGGCCTATTTCCTTTGGCAATCTGCCGCAGGAGCTGGAAGCGGCCCCCGTGACGTTCGCGGACGGCGCAAAGAGAGGCATCGTTGGCGCTTTGGATTTGTTATCTGTTTGTCGGCAAGTGTATGTATGGTTTTTTTTTCTTTTCTTTTCTTTTCTTTTCTTTAACTACCTTTACTTTTGCAGTATTTATCTGTTTTATACTAACTCCGACAAAACAGCTACACCGAAGCAATCACAGTGCTGTACAAACACCTGATATTCCAAATGGACCTAATCACTCTCCTGGCCTTCTCAATCTCCATCCCCGAACCCCACCTCAAAGCAATCACAAAACTCGAAATCAGCGGGCCGCGGCTCAACTACGTAGACTCCTGCTACTACCTCCAATATCTACCCTCATTCCGCCAAATTCGCCGACCCTCATCATCATCATCATCATCATCATCATCATCATCATCATCATCATCATCATCGTCGCCATCACCACGACAGTCCCGCTCATCCTCCGCCACCTCCTCAACCACCCAACAAGCAAACAACCCCAACCCCAACCGCATCGCCAAACCCCCCACCATCCCATCCCCAACCCTCTACAAAATCAACCGAAAACTCACCTCCTTCACCCGCTACCGCGCCCAGGACATTCCCATCTACACCCCGCGCCCCCCCACCGCCTGGGAAGAGACATGCACCTGCCTCCTCCCGCGCCTCTCGGGTCTCTGCGAGCTGCGCATCTCGCTCAAGCGGCCCTGGGCCTTCAGCGAGCGGTGCATGTCGCCTGCGGCGGAGCGGTATCTGCTGCGCCCGCTGGTGGAGGCTGTCGTGGCCGCTGACGGCCACGACGGTGGGGGTGCCAAGTTAGCGCTGCTACGCGTGTTTGAGGTGTGGGTTGATTGGGAGGAGGGGGTGGAGGGGCATGGGTGGGCGGAGAAGGGGGTGTGGCCGCTGCGGAGGGGTAGGACGGCGCTGCCGGGGGAGGGGTTGGAGGGGCTTGAGACGGAGGAGGTGGATATGTGGAGGCCTAGTGCGTTTTTGTTGGAGAGGGGGAGTCGAGCGGCTTTGCTTCAGCAGGAGGGGTGGGAGGTGTGGGGGGATGAGCGGTGGGAGTCGTATTTGGTGAAGGGGGAAAATAAGGATAAGGATAATGATAAGAGGGGTCGGGAGGGTGAGGAGGTAGAGGGGGACGAGAGTGAAGATGGAGATGGATATGAGGAGGAGAAAGGGGGGAAGCTATGGCAGGACGCGCCGTTTAAGGTGATTCGGTCCTTTGAATCGAGCGATTCGATGAGGGATTCTTGGTGATGCGTTCGTTGTATCGGAGGTTTAGTTAACCTTTTTTGGCACCGCGATCCGCTAATCGCAGCCAGTCAATCGGTCAGTATTCCAAGGTTGTCGGTACCCTTTGTCGTTAAGAGGATGTGATCCCTTGGCTTCTGTTTACTTCATTTTTCTTTTTCCCTACAATCCAATGAGCATATTTGATATATGTCTTTACCAATCCTACCAGTTTCTTATATGTGAATATGCCCAAGCCACTGTCTGCAACCACAGATAAGAGGTCACGAGGACAGGCTGGCTTTGGATATAGTATCTTCCCGCATGATTCCCCCGTTTGTTTGAGCGACTTTATATAGCGTTTTTTCTTATTCATTACATATCTTGTATGAAACTTGAAACATGCTCATACCGTCAAATCTTTTCCATCGCATTTCAGATGTTATGGTAGATGGGATGATATGCTACAGACCTCTCACCATCCATTCGCAATATAAGTAAGTAGTAAGTGGTAAGTACTTCCCAGCTGCTATATTTATTGCCAGCGGCAGGTCTCGTTCTCTTCCATGAACCGGGGATGTAATTTTTACAAAAAGTTCTCGGTATGTAATTGTATTTCTCAAACCTGCTGTAATTGCCAATTACTATATATATATATAACTATGTATGTACATGTATATATATATATATATATATATACTCCGTATATATATATCTATATCTACCTTGGTAGCGTTGAATATTACCGCGCTAGGCTGGAAAGAATTAGACTAGTGCCAATTGCAATAAATCCCGCACCCGAATAGGCTAGGCCGCGGCCGAAAAGGGAAATTGACACCATCGGTGGGGGCGCAATCAATGATCAATCAGCCTTGGAACGGAACGAGCGACACTGCGACAGAGTTTCCATCGTTTAATTGTTTATGAAAGGGACATGTAATCTACATGCATGTTATGTACTGTACAATATTAGAGGGTGTAAGAATAAGAGAGAGAAGAGAATGTAATTTATTTTAATTATTTCAAAGAGTCTACCTAGGAAAAGAAGGATTAATTTTTTTTTCTCTTTTTTTTTTTTTAAGAAAAAAAAATGTCGAAAAGAAATCACATCACTGGGAGAAGTCTTCCGGACTGAGCTGGGCTACCGGCAAAACAAACTTTCTTTTCTTTATTTGTTTTTCTTCTTACAGTACGTATTATTTTATTGATATTTTACATATTTCATGGTTTTTTTTTTTTTTCCTTTTTGCAACTTAAGCTCAAATACAAGCGCTATTCTAGAAGGTCTACAGAAGCAACCAAGCATTGCTTGACTGTCTTGGCTGACGTTGCTGAGAAAGTGTGCGGCTTTGATTGGCGCGGCTGGTTCTGTAGTAACTACAGAGTAGTAGTATCTGTGTAGTGTCTGTGTATCGTATCTCTAGCTCCTCCTTCCTTCTAGCTGGAGCAGTTCAGCTATACTCATTATAATAATAATAATTTATTATTAGGCACATATATTAATCAGATGAATGTGTAGGTCTGTCTGTGCTGTGAATCATGATAATTGCAGGTGAGATATTGTATTTATTTTCTGCTGACTTTTCAGGCAGAATTTCTCGTAGCCGATCTCATTAATTTTTTTCCTTTTTCTGATATATTAGAGTTAAGGTTTTCTTTGCAAAACATATGACTGGTATTGATTGGTATTGTATTGGTATTGATGTAAGCCCCACCGTGCGTGGTAAGTGCGTGGGCATTGTGTGGCGGGGTGAGTGGCAGTCGGCTCTGCGGCATGTGGGGGATGTCTTCCTGCCTGGAGAGAGTTATCTATTGATTCGGCCCTTCTACCAGCAGTGCGCTCGCTGGTGGTGATTTTGCCCCAGTAGCCTAGATCTATTATGTACTCCCGGTCTGTAGGTAAGGTACAGAGTGCTGTCGGTGACACGGGTGAGAAAATGAGCCTTTTTTTTTTTTCATGAGGCTGCATCGGTTGTTCTTAACGCCACGGGTTCTCGGATTAAATGTGAGTATTCTGAGACATTTGAAATGTAGAGGAATAAATGAAAAGTTAAGTAACTTAGTTGGATAAATCTTATATATATATACATACAGAGGTGGTTGAACTCTGCTCGCTTATATATATATATATAGATAGTGTCAGTAGCATTTTCATTACCGTCTCATCTCCGAGATTATCATAACCTTCAAATCAACAGTTAACATGTCTATCTATCTCTCTTGAACTGGTTCCTGTATCTCTCTCCTCTTTTCTTCTCCTTTAGTCGTGCCCTCTTTTCAAATTTTGAATCTCATTCTGTGAATAAATAATAAATTCTAACCGAATGAACCTTCAATGACTAGTGATACAATATGAATCCATCTAAGTTCTTTTGATGAAGCAAGAACTCTCACTTCATCAACTCAACTCCCGCGGAGCCTATAGTTAATAGTTATGCGCATACATGAGAATGCCTGTGGTGATCCTCAGAAACTAGCTCATAATCCATAACTACTCAACTCAATGAAGGATTGAAGGATTGAAGGATTGATTGATCCCCTGCTCCCTGCTCAGAGGGATTTTTAATTATCTACAAGGAGATTGCCAGTGAACTCGGAGATCCATCCAACTTGTACGGAGTACTCTATACGGAGTAGATTGAAGATTACCTGGTTACCTCGCAATAATATACAATACCGGGATGACGATTGGAGAATTATTCCGCACTGAACAAAGAACTAGTTAACGACAAAAATGAGAATTATTATATGGTAAAGTCCTCACACACAACCCGGGTCCGTCATTATTATAGCTTGGTTTTGAGGCTTTTCTTTTTCTTTTTCTTTTTCTTTTTCTTTCTTTCTTTCCGTTAAGTTACCCCACGATTCACGGGAGATTAATGCGGGCGGGCGCCGGAAAAGGAAAAAGAAAACAAGAGAGTATGGCATGTGTTCCGCGCGTTCTTTGAAATTTCAAAACCCTGCTTTAACTGATTTGCAGCACTGGTAACTTAATCTGTACTGCGCGTTGTAGTTACTTCTTCAATCCAACTCGGGGGGAAAACGTGAGCAAGGCATAGGCTGTGAATGAATGATGTGAGTGATGCAATGATGCATGCAAAGTCCGAGATGAGGACTAGAAGAGAGGAGGGAATCTGAAGATGGCATGGCAATTGGCGGTGAGGAGGACAATCCCGGTGTCATATGTTCTCAAAATACTGTAGATATTTAGTTACTCTAAATATCTAAAGAATAATCACTGGCTACAGCAACGACACTTTGACCTTTCCCCCTTCTCTCTTCTCTCTTCTCTCTAACTTACTCGGTCAAATCAACACCAGACAATGACCGTGTTTTTCTTTTCTTTTCTTTTCTTTCTCCCCTCACCCGCCTCTTTCAAACCATAACTCGCTCGTGCAACAACCCCACGCCCGCCCTGCATAACGACGCCACCCCGTGCCCACGAGAAACAAAACCAAAAAGCTCATTCAGGTGTTCTCCTTCGTGTTGACCTCCCTCCCGATTCCCTGGTCGTGTGAGCGCGCGGATAACCCAGTAGCAGTGCATTGAAGAGGTTGAAGAGATCTCTGGACAGCGCCCGCAAACTCCGCGTAGACAAATGACCGGCAATGGCTCATCCACACAGGTAATGTAATCTCTAAGGGCCTGTTCGGTGACCCCGTCCAGGGCCGTATAAGTCCGTACAGTCCCAGCTTGTACGGCCCTGGACGGCTCTGGCCGGGGTTATACACGCTAACCTGGCCGGATAAGGCCTTCTGTTCGGTACATTCTGCGTATAACTCTGTACAACTCGCCACGCATGCCAAGCTGACAGTCAGATTCATATTAACCGTGCCATGCTTACTCACTCTCTCTAGTGAGTGCGCCACAGTGTACAGAAAACCACACTGTACAGAAAATATTTTGAATATAGTGATCTTCAAAAATTAATTAATAATCATCATCACATCTATCTATAACATAAAGATTATCTATATACTCATTAGAAGGTGTAGAATCCACTGTAGATTGAGATTCTATAGAATTATCTTATTATGATTGAGTGGCTGTAGATTTTATAGATTTGATTTCAATTAATCAAAGATTTTTATTAAATGTCTTTTTCATCTCATCTGCTCTACAGATCACAATCTTGCAATTAGTATTCTTAATAGTAAGAACTTCATCTACTTGTATCTGTCTGTAGAAGGATTTGATAACTTAATATCTATTTACTTAATAATAATCTGCAAGTTCACTCTCACAGTGTATATTTAATTTCATCTGAATCATACTACTCTTGAAGATCTTGTTCAATTATCTTATCAAATCAGATATAAGAGTATTCTTCACATCTTTTAAGATCTTGACTGCTGTATTAATTTAATAACATAGTTTTACAACTGTCTCTGAGAAGATTAATTATGAGAAGACAGTTAATAATTAATCTGTAGATGATAAGATAAAGTAATTGTATATATTATTATCATCATTGTATATGTTGAGATCTGAAGTATCATCAATGATAAGAGGTCTTAATTAATTGAGAATTATATTATAATTAACTGAACACATTCTGTGATTAATAAAGCCAGCTCTCACAGTATCAGATTTGAATGTTTACAGTTAAACACTCTTCAGATTAGTAAGAAATTGTCTGTTATTATACTACTTATATCTGTAGTAAGCAGTCTTATTAACTGTCTTTGTATAATAATGCTTATACTGCTGAAAAGATATATTATCAAGAGATTATAGAATATAACTTATATAAGATTAGAATCTGAACAGAATAATCTTATAAAGATTATAGTATTAAATAAATTCTTCTATAAGATGAGAATCATGATTATTTATTAATAGCAGTTAATGACTGCTTATTTAATACTTTTTTATCATCTTATTAAATTACTTAATTTATTCAAATTCAATCTTATTATTTATAAAGCCAGACTCAGATGTGATGATAATATAGTTATTAAATAAGTTAAAGTATGTATATTAATTCTCTAAATAAATCTTTGATTTTATTATAATCAATGAATTTAATACTGTGTTATCTATACTAATACACTTCATCACTGTTATTAATCTATAAGAGTATGATAACTGTATAATGAAATTCATATCTTTAAAGATGATTATAACTCACTGTTTATATTCTTCTTCTTCTTGAAATTCAATCTCATTAAAGTTATAGATATTATAGTGAAAAAAATAATATTAATTAAAGATAGATTTATATTAATTAAATTAGTTAATAATAAAGCTTATATTCTTATAAGACACTTGTTTTAAATTTATAAGCTTTTACTTAACTTATTTATAATCTGATAGATATTTGATAAATTAATATACTTATATCTTACTTACTGTGAAAGATGTAGTATCTGAATCTGTATAATACTATCTTAATATACAGTTTATAACAGCTTTGATATACTCAATAATAAGCAGATAAAAATTAATATTTAACTAATAAATTCATATTTTAATTATCTCATTCTAACTGTTATTCAATACTCAATTCAGTGAAACTCTTATAGTTTTTAATTTCTTCTCATTAATTCTCTCATATAAGATAATATATAGAACTTTAAATTCTTATAACAGAGATATAATTTTTAATTTTGAATTGCTTTTATATATATTAACAGCTCTTTACAACTGCTTCTCAGTGTAATTAGAAGATTTAGACATGAATATAATTAATGATAATTATTTGAAGATGAAGAATGAAGATATTGAAAATATTTTTCATATAATGTGATTTTCTATTATATCTTCAGCCGCGCTAAGACTCTGTTGCGGTTTCACACAGCTCATTACTTTTATACAGATGATTTCATTTATTCTGCAGACTGTTTAAATCAGTTTTCAATCACTCTATAACATCATTCAGATATAATATAGAAAGATTTAATTAATAAATATAAGAATCTCACTTCTACACAAGGTCAGCAGATTACTCTTTTATAGTAGTAAGATACTACTAAGATATCACTTCAGCTATTCTTACTTATAGAATAGAAGAGAGATATTCACTTATTATCTATATAGAATAGCTAGATACTGATTTCTTATCAAAGAAGTCAGTAATTTGTTTTTATCTTCTATGAAAATATATACAAGAGTTACTGTATTTCTCATACAATTTTCTTAGTATACTAAGTATTATATCTGTGATATTCTTGCAATAACTCTGTAGCTCATAAGCTTGCTATTTAAGCAAGATATCAAGTTCATCTCTACAGCTTTTTAAATAACTATCTCTATATAATACTACTAACTAGTCATTACTTCAGTTTTATTATATTACAATTTAAATCACTTAATCTGACTACAAGTTTGAATCAGTCAAGCTCTATTAATAAATTAATATAATCTTATACATCTGTACTGAGACTGATCTAATTTCACTCTCTGAGAAAAACTTTATATTATTCTCTAGAGTGTGTACATCTCTATCTTAGCAGAGACTCAGTGACGTAGTGATTAGACTGACCGTGTAACTGTGTCTGAGACCAGAACTAGATTTTTTAATAGTCTTATTATCAATTTGACTGATTTCATTACATGGTTTTAACATTAGATAGTAGTCTCATACTGTCTCAGTGAGACTTACTGTCTACTCTTATTACATTTTTCAAATGAGACCATGATTTCCACTTCTTAATTTAAATTATTTTTATTGCTTTAAATGACTTTAAATCTCATTTGAGCATTATTAAAAAGTGTTACTTTTTAAAAAATTAAAAATAGTCTAAAAAAAACCTTAAAATGTCTAAAAATAGTAACTTTATATCAAGAATGAGATTAAATGAGATCAAATGAAATCACTTTCTCATTTTTTTCAAGTCATGGTTTTATTTTAAGATCTGATATATAGTCACTTTACATGTTTTTTTGATAGCCAGTCCCAGCGGGATTCACATCAAGAAATGTATGAGACCAGATCAAATGAGATCAAACATGAAATTCATGGTCCCGGCGGCCAGTCTAGTAGTGATTAACTACGCTATTATGAAGCCTCAATTAGCGGCCTTCCCCCCGGGGAATAAATGTTAAGAGAGAGCAGATTCAAACTCTGCAAGAGTCATCTTAATCACAGCTTTCACTGTTAAGTTATAAAACAGTACTGAGAGCTCTCAGATGCACTATAGTGAATCATTATCAAGCTTAAGATATTCATCTCAGAAGTTTTCAGACACTAATTCTCACTGATCTTAGAATTAACAGTCTTTCAGACACTTTAAGTTAGATCAGTACTAGAGTGATTAAGATCTAGAGTATCTGCAGAATAGTAAATCATTATCAAGCTTAACTGACTAGATGTAAGAAATCCCGCTTCTCGCGGATTCTTTACCTCTATTTCTATCTCTTGCATAATTAATAGGGCTAGCGGCCCTTGACTACACACAACTATATAGACTGAAGTTCATGAATACTATTTATAACTCAGCTTGAATGCTATTATATATTTAATCTCTATATTTTATCTTTCTATCATGAATACTTCTAGTAGTTAACAGTATATATCATGTCAAGCTGCAAACACCTGAATAATCACCTGTGAGTACTTATTCTTACATTTCAAGCTCAGTCAGTCAGTAACTGCCTGTTATGACTGAAAGAACTAGAAACTTATATACTCTCATCTCTGCAAACTCTACTGCAGACACTCAGAAGCAGTTATCTAAATCATGAATAATTCTTATAGAAGAAGTCTCAGAGAACTTATCAATTACTTACAGAACATCATTCTCTGCATCTGTGATAGAGAAATTCTTCAAATTCACAAATAAATCAATCTTAGTGAAGAACATTCTTGAGTATCTCTCACAGAATTAAGCTATTTTTCTACAAGAAATGCTTACTGCTTGTAAACACTCTTGAACTGAGTCTCTAGACATAATCTTCAGAGATATTTATAAACTGAAAAGAAACTTTCTTAAGCTATAATCACTTAAGGTCACTTATTGAATTACAATCTATAAAAGCTTTTGCAAGTTTGTATTTGAAATTGACTCACAAGCCTGACTGTGTGATATAAAAGATGAAGAAGCTGTCATCTATATAATAACAGATCTCTATTACACTGAAGCTAAGAACTGACTGAATCATTTAAAAAATGATTATAAGAGATTCTACTGATCTGTTCTTAAAATCTATCTAGAGAATAAGTTGAGAGACTTTATAAGCTGAACAGAGAACATCTGAGCTGTGATTATCAATATTAGAAAAAGAGATGAGAAATCTGATAAAGACTACTTATAACACTTCATGAAATTATGATATAAATTAAGATCTGTGAAAACAGAGCTCTGAAACAAGATCTGAATGATAATATTTATAAAGAGACTGAATAAAGATATGTAGAACAAGCTCATTGAGTAAAACTCTAAGTTCTTAACTCTGAAGAAACTGATAACTCTTATTCATCACTTACAGATCACTATGAGAGTCACAGATCTACAGAGAGTGAATTATTAACTGACTCTGTAAGAGTCAGAATAACAGAGAACAGATTTGTCAGAAAAAGATAATAAAACACAGAGAGATTTATATCTGACTGCTAAGCAGAGAGAAAAAGATTTATAAGCTTCTGTGAACAGAATGTATAATAGAAAGATTAAGAAAAAAAGACTCTGTTTCATCTATTCTAAATCAGAATATCTTCACACAAACTATTCAGACAAATTAAAATAGAAATTTGAGAAGTCACAGACAGAGTCAGCAACAGTCTTTTTAAAAGTCTTGAAGCTGACATCTGAATCTGTTACTCTCTCAATGAAAATACTTACTTATAGAGAGAGACTGTGCTGCAGTACTACTATCTCATAAGTAT